CATTACCGGGGATTTGCATATGTATTTTCACATGCTCATTTAATTTTCGCAACAGCTCTATGTGAAGTTGGGGCTATTATTAATCCAGAGGGAAAGGGATTTACCCAGAGGTACGGAACGGCTAAGAGGAAGAGCCTAGACTCCTTCGTCTGCAAATCCCAAACTCTTAACCACTGGGCTGAGCCATACCACCTGGTGGGCAGGTGAGAATGTGGACAAGTGAAAGGTGTGTTGGTAGGCTTGGGAACCTGGATGTGTGTCAGCTTCCCCTGTGGGGGAAGGGACGCTCCCCTTTGAGAGAGGGACTGAAAGGGTCTCAAGAGTCTAGATTTCTGGTTAAAGAAACTATAGCTCCTGTGGTGCATTGGAGCCTGTGCACCTTTATTAGAAGGTGTAGGGGCTCAGACCTTCCTCTGCTAGATTGTGAGCTTCTTGAAGGCAGGGACCTGGGCCCTGACCCAAAGGGGGCTTTGGTGAATTTGGGGGGCAAAACATGAATTTCTATATATAATAAAGGCTAACACTTCAGGGATGCTTACCCAGAGACTGGCAGTACTTTACACGGGTTATTTCACTTAACGGCGCACAGGTGTGTGCGTTCATGCGTGCTCAGCCATGTCCATGATCCTACGGACTGTACCCCGCCAGGCTCCTCTGTCCATGGGATTTCCGAATAAGAATACTGGAGTGGGTTGCTGTTTCCTTCTCCAGGGATCTTTCCGACCCAGGAATTGAACCTGCATCTCCTGCATGGGCAGACGGATGCTTTTACCACTGAGCCACCTGGGAGGTCCCTGGGTCTCCTCGAGCACAGCTCTGAAATGCGGTGAAGAGGGGAGGGGATTTGGACCAGTGACTATGTAAGCCCCTTCCAGCGTTGATGGGACAGACGATAAGGAGGGCAAAGTCTCTGAGTGGGAAGATGCGAATAAAGGGAACCAGAGGCCACGATTACTGAAGACCACCCACTGTGCGCCAGCCCTGCGCTTGGCACTTAACATATATTGCTAATTCTCAGGAAAATATTCCTCAAGGTTTATATTTGAGGAAACAGCTTCAGAGTAGTGAGTCTGACACAGGTGGCACAGGTCATCCAGGTGTCCTCGCCAGGATTACTTCCCTAGTCCCCTGTGACCAAGCCCTTGTCTCCCTTCCAGCCTCAGGGGGTAGCGCCACGTGGCAAATTGCATCATGACTTTAGACACCGCACCAGCCAATTCAGGCGCTCCCAGTTCGAGACTTCGCAGACCCAGCGGGTCAGCAACCCTACCGGCGAGCGCTGGGCGTCCCGTCAGGCCGCACCTGCAGCCCTCGCCTCTTCCCGGTTGCGACGCTCTCTCTGCCCGGCCCAGTTCCTCCCCCCTTCCCCGCCGCCCTGCTGACTGGCAGTTGCCCGCACCAATCCTAAGGCACCCCGGGTCGGGGGCGGGGCCTCACGCCAGAGTTGCCCTGTCAGTGCAGGTGGAGGCCCCTGAAGGGGCAAAGTGGCAGGAACCTCTTAAAGGGCGAGAGCGGCGGAGGGCGAGAACGCGGCCCGGCCCGGCCCGGCCAGGTCCCCGCCCTGTCCAGCCCAGGTGAGCCTGGACCTCCTGGGGGACGAGCCCGGGTCCCGGGAGGGACGGGGTGAGACACAGACGGACGCACTCCCCAAGGGCCTGGGGCGTCCCGCGGGGAGCGGGGAGAGGTCTGGTTCTCAGGGTCGGGGGTGCTATAGAGGTCCCCGGTCCCCAGTTCCGAACTGGGGGTCCAGTGGGAGGGGGTCTGGGGTTCCCGAAGTTCAGGGTGCGGGGAGGGGCAGGGGAGGCAGGAAGGGGGTCTGAGAGCTCGCGTCCGGAGCTGGGCGCTTGGCGCGCGGTCCGGGGAGAGGTCTGGTTCTCAGGGTCGGGGGTGCTATAGAGGTCCCCGGTCCCCAGTTCCGAACTGGGGGTCCAGTGGGAGGGGGTCTGGGGTTCTCCCCTCAACCCCGCCCTGTCGGCCCCGCGTGCTCCGGCGGGGCGGGCTGCAGCGCCACTGGAGCGGGCGGGAGGGCGGCGTGCGCCGGGAGCGGGCAACCCGGTCCGGGCCCCCGCGCCCCGCTCCGGGCCTTACGTAACTGACTTTGAGTTTCCGGACTGAGGGACCCACGAGCTGGGGCGCCAGCTCTGCCGGCCAGGGTGGCTCTGCTGTCGCCGCCCCCGCCGCACACGCTCCCTTTCCAGGCTGGGTTTAGGGGACTTCTCTCTGCCTCCCGTCTGCCGGGTCTCCCTGTCGGGCTCTGGTTCCGGCTCGCTCTCTTCTCCCGGTTCCCTGTGTCTCTCGTCTCCTCTCTGTGTGACCCGGCCTCTCCCTGTCCTGCCCTCATCTACACTTTCCAGCAGACCCCACCTCTGTGGGTTGGGATAGGACTTCTTTCCTCCAGCAAATTGGAGGCCAGGACGTGTCCAGACCGACCTCAGCCCAAGCTTGCCCCAGGAGGGCGGGGAGGACTACCTGGTAGGATTGGGGGAGGTTACTCCGGAAGCCCACAGATTCTTCTGGGAGAGGAGCGACTGAATGTGACCCCTTAAACTCTCAGATTAGAACTGAAGGCAGTTCAGGCCACCTTTGCTTCTGAGGCCTTTTTCTCCAGGAGGAGGTTTGGGGAGAGCTTGACCTGGGTTGGGGCCTCGGGCAGCTGGAAGTCCCTGGAAGAACTGCTCAGCTGCTGAAGGAGGGTGGGGCCCTGGTGGCGGGGGTTGGTGGGGGGGTGGGGAGGGAGGTATAAGTGACAGACTCTCAGGTCTAAGGGGCACTTGGTGGGGTCACTCTCTGCCTTCAGGGTCCTTCTGAGCGTCAGAGAAACAGACACCTTGGAAACAACTCCTGCACGCCCGCTGTCCGCTGCATGTAAACAAGGTGTTCAGAGCGCTGGTGAGGTGGGAGTTGTTCATTCTGACCTGGGGGGTGGGGAGGAGAGGCTTGGCAGAGGGGGTGGGAGTTGGGGAAGAAGGGCTTTCTGAAGCTGTAGGGAGCAGAGAGGAGGGACAGAAGGGGACTTTGGGGACCCTATAGACTTTTCTTGGAGCAGAACTGGGTTTGAAGCTTGGCCCTGCCATTTTCTTGCTATGTGACCTTGCATGAGTCACTTCACCTCTCGGAGCCCCAGATTCCTCCTTTGTCAATAATCCAGATCTTACAGGCATTAGCAGAATCAAATGAGCACTGAGTGTGCAGTGACCAGAATGGTAGCTGGTCTGGGAACAGGCCAGCAGGGGTGCATTAAGAAGGGAATGGAGTGAGGAAGCCCTGAGGTTTCCTCTGTGTATATAGGAGAGTCAGGCAGGACCTGCCACGTCCCTGGCAATGTGGGATACGGGTGGAGTGTCTTGTGTGGGTGACACCCATCTGTTTTCTGATCAGTCCATCTCTGAACTGCCTAGACCAGGCTAGCCTCCTTCCTGAAGGCCCCAGGCACCAAGAGAAGCTCCCAGGCTGCCTCGCTCCCTAGGCCAGTGGGAATGGGGCCGTGGCAGGGCAAGGCCAGCACCCTGTTTGCAGAATGGACACTGGCCGGGAGCCTGGCTGCCTGCACTGGGCAGGAACATCCCAGCCTGGCTGGGAAGATGCTGACACTGTAGAGGCCTCTGGAGGCCCAGAGCGCTGCTGGCTGGAGTTGGGTGCGGCTGATAGGATCTGAGACAGAGGCTGGCCAGGGTGGGAGTGAGGAAGGGAGGTGCAAGGAATGACCCCCTGGAGGGGGAGCCTGAGCAGAGCTGTGGAACCAGAGAGGAATTTCATGTAGTTATTCCCCAGACCTTCCCGGAGCACCTCCTGTGTGACTGTATGGCTCTGCTAACCAAAGGGCTGAATGTGCTGTGCTGTGCTTAGTCACTCAGTCGTGTCTGACTCTTTGCAACCCCATGGACGGTAGCCCACCAGAACCCTCATGGGGATTCTCCAGGCAAGAATACTGGAGCGGGTTGTCATGCCTTCCTCCAGGGGATCTTCCCAACCCAGGGATTGAACCCAGGTCTCCCGCATTGCAGGCGGATTCTTTACTGTCTGAGCCATGAGGGCCAAATAGGATACCCATGAAAGGCTCAGCGTAGAGGTCATGGTGGCCTGGGACTTGTTCGGGGTTTGCGGAGTAGACCTTTATGACGGTCCCCTGGGGGATGGGTCACTCAGAATTTCTCCAGGGCCTAAGATTCTGATGTTGGTTAATGGGGCAGGATTCTACTCCCTGATCGTCTGTGGGCAGTCGCGTTTCTCCCCAGGGTTTCAGTTTTCTCTTTCTGTGAAGGAACGTAGAGTCTCTAAGATCTTCCAGCATTCATTACTGCAGCCCCCAGGACCTAGTTTGGGACTATCCTCACTCTACGTGAGAGGAGGGGAGAGAATGGGGATAAGGGCAAAGTTGAGTGTAATGGGCACTCAAGTCCTGTTCTTGGCCTATGTTCTCAAATCATAGTTAGAACTGTAGCCTCTTGAGCACTTGTGCAGGGTGCGCTATGCCAAGCCTTTCATATGCAACATTATGTATTCCTCATCATCCCAACATCCTTGTGAGGGAATAGGTATTATCCCTATTCAGGGAGGTGAATATACTTGAGCAGAGTCACATAACTAGGAAGTGACTGGGCTGGGATTCTAAGCCAGGTCTGTCTGACTCCAAAGCCCAGATTCAGCTACAAGAGGGAGACTCCACCCAGTAGGTACTGAGGCGCCCGCATTACTTAACCCTTACTTGCAGAACCTGCCTGACCCCTGCTGGGTGAGCTCACAGCTCTGAGATATTCAGGCTAGGGAGGGGGGGGACAGGCTGTGTGGGTGCCCTCTGGGCCCAATGAGCAGGCGGGAAAGGAACAGAAGGAGCAACTTGTGGGTCAGGGCCTCACAGGGAACTTCTCCAAAGGGCCAGTAAGTGCTGGGCATGAAAGGCACCCTGGGGTATATGGCCAATTTGGATCTCAGTTTCTCCATCAGTAAAGCATGGGTTTGGAGTCGTTGAGTGCAGGCATTCCTTGGCCTTCGGGTGAGTGGCTGAAGTTGGCGATGGGGTCAAGGGTTAGAGGAGGGGTCAGATAGCAGTGACTGAGCCTGTGGAGGGAGAGCTTGGATCCTGGGCTGGCTGTTTGACATTTGAAAGGCTTGGCACAGAGCGCCATGCACAGTAAGTGCTCAGGAGGCTGCAGTTCTAATTATGATTCGAGATTTCAGATGAAGAAGGGACTGAAGCTGGAGACGTTCAAAGGCTTGGCTGGGGCTGGACAGATAGTATTGCAGAGACTGAAGGGAAAAATGGAAGGGAGAGCAAAATCCAGGCAGATGCCAGCTGGAATCTTGGCTCAACCACTTACCTAGGTTTGGAGATGTGAAGTAAGGGCCCAAGAACCCACAGAGGAGAGTCCCATCACCTCACTGTGCTCATCCATAAAATGGGAATAGTAATTCTGTCTTGGTCCACTTCCTGGGTTACTGGGAGGGTCAAAATGCCTCTTCGGCATTTGTGGAATCAGGTGAGAAGGTGGGGGCTAGTTATTTTTCAGTTCAATGCTGTATGTTTCAGTTCTGGCTGTATGTTTGTGGGGAGGGAGCATTTCTGATAACAACTCTGCAGAGATGCTTTACCCTCGGGATGCATTGGAGACCAGCCCTATTTATGTCACCAATAAATGTCACCGCTATTTATTGAGTATAATTAGTTACCATACACAGGCACTGGGCTTAGAGCTTCACCTCTTGTCTCCTTTCATCTCTACCTTCTCAGGTGGCCTGCCCCACACTAGAGGCCTCTGAAACCCATGCCTCCAGCTCCCTCCGGTAACAGCAGCAAACATTTCTGAAGAGTTTACTCTGTTACTGTGTGCCAAGCACTCTTCAAAATGTTTTACATATATTAACTCAATCTTCAAAACCCTGGAAGTGGGTACTAATACTTTCCCCATTTTACTGAAGAATAACTGAGGTGCAGAGAAATGAAGAAATAGGCCTGGTATCACAAAGCTAGTGTGTCATAGAGCCAGGGTATGGACCCAAGTTCTTAAGTCTCCTCCTTGAAGTGCTCATCACAATTGCAATTCAGTTTTTATAAGATTGCCTCCTCACTGATTGTAGGTTCCATGAGGGCAAGGACTGACACCTGGCACACAGTAGGTGCTCAGCTAATGTTTATGCACAGGGATCCCGCTGCTTCCAGTGGGCTGGGCCCTGGGAGACCTCATGAGCTCAGGGTAGATTATCAGATTGCTGACCAAGAAGGTCTCTGTCCCAGAGGCAGAGGGAGGGTTCCCCTGGGCCCATGCTCAGGCCAAAGAGGGACCCCGAGGACATGTTTGCTGGCTGTTCTGTGTCTCACTGATTTCTTTTCCTTCCACGTGCCACTGTGGCGATGGCTCCACGGCTTCTCCCCGACGGCTGCGTGACCCCGTGGCTGCTTCTGGGTGAGTACTGGTTCTGCTAAGGACGGCCACGTGGCTCTAAGGCCACTGGGAGGTATAAAGGGAGGCCTGGGGTGGGGGAGGAAGAGCCGTGGGAGGGTCCTAACTCTGAAGTTAGATTACTGTCACAACCAGCTCACTTCTCCCGGATGCCTGGCATGCTGATGTGGTGATTTTGAGGTCACGTGGCACAATGCAAAGGTCTCAGGGGCAGATTGGCCTGGAATGGAATCCTTATTCTGCCATGTGCGGGCTAGGTGGCTCTTTGCATCTCAGTTTTGCCTCTGTGAGGGGGGACTGTTGACACCTACCTGATACAAGCATGTTTGTTGTTTTATTCGCGTGAACCCCACGAGGGCCGGGATGTTTGTTCTCCTGCTCACTGCTGTCCCCTAGCACTGAGGATAGAATGGCTCGTAGTAGATGTGCAGTGAATATTTCTGAATGAAAGCACATATGAATTCGGAATCACGGTTCACCCATCGATGTACTTTGTATTGGATTAAGAGGCTAATGCATGTGAAGTGCCCAGTGTTATAGGGGCTCAGTGAACATGAGTCCTCTCTTTGCTCCCAAGATGGTGAATTCCTTGGGGTCAGGTCTCTGTTAAGTGAGCCCCGGGTCTTCTCAACTGAGTGTGGGGTCAAGTACCAAGCAGGCATCAGAGAGCAGAGAGAGTGGCCTAGGCAGCTAGACTCAGGGCCTCTGCTTAGGTCTGGGGAAGGAGTGGTGAAGCTTCTGGATGTCATCAGAAGGGTGGGGCTGCTTGCTGGGGAGGTCTAGGGCTGAAGGCGGGAGGGATGAGGAGGGACCCTGCCTCCCAAGACTGCCACGTTCCTAGCTGTGTGACCTCGGACGAGACACAACTCTCTCTGAGTTCTGGAGACCTCATCAGGGACATGCATATCCTGACACCTGTCCGACGTGGGCAGTGGGAGGAGCTGGTGAGAAGTGCTGGGCACAGGCCCTGCTGGACAACTGCTGGTTCCCTCCCCGCCCTGGGCTCCTTCTGGGAGGGGACAAAGCAGAGGGTTCCTCTTTTTGGCTCCTTTCTCCTACTTTTAACTTCCCACCCAAGAGGAACTAAAATCTAGGAGTCAGGAGCCCCACACTCCCCAGCAGGCTGGCCGGGGTCCAGGGATAAGGGCTGGCTTCTGCCCAGCGTGGAAGTGGCTGAGTGCAGGACTCAGCTCTGCCATTTTTTTTGTTGTTCTTGTTGTGTGACTTGATTCAATAACCCACCATCTCTGGGCCTCGGTTACCTCACCTGTTAAAATAGGGTGAGTAAAACATACTTCCTTCGAAGGATTATTTAATGAGCAAATGGGTGGAGCAGGAACTATCCTCACTGTTAGTGTTTGGCCCTGGAGGCTTCAGTGGGGGAGCCTGGAGAATTGCATCTTGCCTTGGCCTGGGGATCTTGAGATTGGAGTCATCATATGTACTATTGCCGCTTATTGGAATTTTTTAATACACTGGGCTGGTTATTATATGTTATTCTAGACACATTATCTCATCTAGCCCTCCCAGTGACCTTATGAGGTAGGCATTATGGCCCCTACTTTATGGATGATGTAATTGGTGCTGAGTAAATCAAGTGAGTTACCCAGAGTCACAGAGTTATTTGGGAGTGGAGTTGGGGCTCAGACTCAAGTCTGTTCACCCCACAGCCACAGTTCTTAGTGTGAAACTCACCTGCCCCAGGAAGGTAGAGGCTGGGTCTGAGTCTTTTCTATCTCCATCATCCAGCACAGGGTTGGTGGGGGCTGCTGGACTTTCTGCTGCACACACACACACACACACACACACACACACCCCACCCCCACCTAGTCTGGTGCTCCAAAAGTATTGAAAGGAGAGAATAGAAAGCCAAAGGCCTGACAGCGTAGTAGTCGAGAGTCAGATAGACCTGGCTTTGAATCCTGGATCTGTTGCTTTCTAGTTGTGTGACCTTGGGCAAGACATTTAACCTTTTAGAATCATACTGTCCTTATCTGTAAAATGGGGATCAAGAAAGAACCTGCCTACCTCTTAAGAATTCTTATGAGGATTAGATAATGCACGTAAGGCACATGGTGAGTACTCAATGATAGCAATTATTGTTATTATAGTTATAATTATGAATATTATTTTGGGATTACAAAAACATCCCTCTTGAGACAGTGGAGACCAGGCCTGGGAGGAACCTGCCGGGGATGGGTGGGTAGTCACCAATCTAACAGGTTCTGAAAGGCACCCATGTGTGGGAAGGGAGGAGGCCTCTTGGAAGTAAGAATGTCCCTCCGTTTCCTACCTGTCTGCCTTTACTCATGCCCACTCTGTGCCTGGCTCCGTTCTGGGCATGGGGCACAGAGGTGAATCTACGTCATCTCTGCCCCCACCGACTCCTGCCCTGAGGATCTCAGAGTCTGGTTGGGGAGGAGGACACAGAAACGACCAACTCCACCTCTGATTGATGCAAAGTGTGACCTGCGACTATCTCTTCAGGCAAAGACCAGGAGGGCTGTCCTAGTGGAAAGAATTGCTTTGCCAAGAACAGAGCCGTGACCTGCACTTGGGGGAACATGGCTGAAGAGACAGGTTCAGGGGAGTTAGGGGACTTGACGTGGAGGCCATGGGGGCTGTTGGACAGGAAGCTGGGGAATGGGGTGGTCAGGCTTGTATTGCAGGAGGATCACTTGGTGCGGAGGACAGACAGGAGAGAGGGGCAGGGCAACTCTCCAGGTGAGCGGTGCTGAGATATGGGGCCTGGGACTGAGCTGGGGAGGGGGGAACACGTACCATGGGTGGTTGTGAGCTCTGTCCAGGAAGCAGAGCCAGAGCCTGCAGGGCGTGTCAAGGGACCCCTGTGGGCAGGCAGGAGGGGACAGAGGTGAGAGTGATGTCTTAGGTCTGGGGGTGATGGGACTCCCTGCTGGAGTCTCTGCTGGGGGACACAGCTGGGACAGGGGGTAAAAGCCCATTGTCTGCTCCTTGCACCTTCTGCCTCAGTTCCCCCAGGGCCCATGCCCCTCCTCCTGCCTTAGGGGTCCCTTGTGGTGACTCTGGCAGGGATGAGAGCTCTTTGGGGGTGGAGGCCGGGTGGGGCTGTGAGATGCAGACAAGCCTTGGGTTCTAGCTCTGCCAATGCCACTGATGTCTGTGTGGCCCCTGGAAGTCACCACCTCTCTTGCCCTGTTGTCCTCGCCTTGGAAGCGTGGATGAGAAAATCTGTTTTGGGGGCTTCCCTGGTGGTCCAATGGTTAAGACTCTGTGCTTCCACTGCAGAGGGCATGGTTTAATCCCTGGTCGGTTGGTTGGGGAAGTTCCACATGTTGTGAGGTGAGGCCAAAGGAAAAAAAAAAGTGAAAAGTAATAACGTTTTTAAGAAAAGAAAACCTGTTTAGCTTGCCTCAGTGTTTCAATGAGAAAATACAATCAGGGACAACAAACATCTATCGAGCATAGACTGTGTATGAGGTTCTGTGGGTGGGGGTGGGGGGTGCACAAAGGTGATGCAGAGAGGAGGTTCCTCCTCTTCAGGAAGCATGAAGTGACTGAGCCCAGACCAGCAGGTGGTTAACAGTGGGCATCAGGGGAAGAGATAGCTCAGCAGGGATTTGAAGGATGAATAAGAGCTCTCTAGGTGGGCAGTGGAGGGAACAGACTCCTAGCCTAGGGAACAGTGTGTGTGAAGGCTTGAAGCTACCCCACGTGCTCAGGTCCTAAGTACCTAGTTTGGTATGGCTGGAGCAGAAAGGGAGAGGTCGGTGCTGATTTTGATGAGGCTGGACAGGGAGGCAGCCCCAGATTCCACACTTGCTACCCTTTTCTTCCTGCGCCTTCGTAACTGCTGCCCCCCTCACTGAGACTGCCAGGGCCCTGTCCCCCCGCTCCTCTCCCCTCCCACCCTCCCCTTCCCTCCTTGTTCCTCTCACCCCAACTCTGGTCACACCCAGCGGCTGCCTCTCTCAGGAGTCAACAAACTGGGTTCCCTGCCGGCTCTGCCATGTATGGGTTGTGTGGCCTTTGGTCGTTTTGCCCTCCCTGAACCTCAGTTTCCACTTCAGTGAAATGGGGACAGTGGCCTTCCTCACAGTGAAGAGTGGAGGCTTCAATGAGATAAGCCCCACAAATGGCCTTGTACGGTGGCTGAATGTCATAGGCACCCGTCAAAGGCAGCTCTACTGAAATCATCATGATTTGAACTTCTTGGTCTCCCTGGTCCCGCCCACTGCTTCCCCTGCCTCTCCTGGCAGCCAGCGCTGGCCAACAAAGGAAGGAAAGGATTAAGAAACAGCCCCATATCTCCAGCGGGTCCTGGCCCACAGCCGGGGTTGTTCCCTCCTGTCCTTTGCCCCCCTTGGCCTCGGGCCCAAGGACATGTGGTTTTAAGGCCTGGGCTCCCCCCAGCTCCCCACCCAGGAAGTCCCTCCCAGACTAGAGGCCAACACCAGCAGCAGCCCTGAAAAAGGGACACAAATTTTTTAAATACGCAGCTTGATTTTTTTCCCCTGCAAGCTGATAATCAGGCTCTTTTTTTCCTGGATGATTGGGAGAGGAGCGAATATCATGTCCTGTATCTGTGGGTGGCCCCGTAGTCCGGGTGGAACTGGAGCCCTGAGCCTCTTGGATTTTACAGCAGAGGCTGGTGACCAAGTCTCTTTTGGTACAGATGTGGGAAACTCCGATCAGAGTAGGCGGCTGATGGCACAAGCTCCCGCAGCAGGAACGTCGGTCTCCGGACCCGTTTTGCACTGTCCTATGAATGCTTGTGATGCTGGCTATCATGGCACCTCCCTGAGCCTCGGTTTCCTCTGCTGTGGGATGGGGTGACTTTACTGTGAGGACTGGCAGTAAGGTGAATGGAGCACTTAGTCCGGGGCTCAGCACAGTGAGGCCTCAATGGTAGGTTATTGTTTGGTTGCTCAGTGATACGGGATCATCGTGTGTGTGTGTGTGTGTGTGTATATGTGTACGTGCGCGCGCACAATTGCTCAGTCATGTCTGACTCTTGCAACCCC